ACATAGTTTTATTCTTAGGATAAAGAAATTAAATGGTTTGTAGTGGTTTGTATCATTTATAGATGACTATAACTGACAATTTGATGTTTTAACAGATAGGTATATATAATTACTTTTGAAAGTAATTCAAGATCTAACTGTCATATGTTATTCATTATACTTTCGGTACTTCCTGCTAGAGAATATCATGGTGAATAGTAGTTGTTTCCAGTACTGGTTTTTCTGCTCTGATTTCAAAACAGAATCATATTTTTTCGTAGTTTTTTGTTATATTTATTCTACCTAAAGATAAAGCAATCTTATGTTTAAAATAGGACCTTGATAAGCAGAAATAATGTTGCTCAACTATACTTGAAATAATATTCATGACGTGAATAACCAATCACTTCCAATCAACCTGTTTATTTGATGATGTAAAGAGGTGTTTTAAGGTATATGACTGTGTCACACTCTTATATTGTTACTATAGTTATACATCATTAACTGTCAAACTGTTAGGCTGTTGTAACATCATATCCGCTTATATTACATACATAGTCAACTGTCAAATCATAGCTTATAAATTATACTGTATACTTTCACTTTCTAACAGTCCTAACATATCTTGTCATAGCCTACACTTATTTATCATAGAGTTTTATTCTTTATAAAATTGATGATATCAAAAGTGTTGCTGATGTTTTGGATTAATTAAGTGACTTATCTGGATTTTTTTGGTATGTTATTTTTTATTATATTTTCCTTTGGTATCAAGAATTTGGAATGTAATGATGCATGGAGTTACAAAATAACAAAACTTGACCCATTTCAAATTCTTTATTGAATTCATATTTTTTCATTTTGAAATTAACTATAGCATGATTTTTGAGATTCACTTCTTGTTCTGTTAAAGTATTTCTACAATTTTGAAGTCCTGTTTGAAGGGAAATGAGTTGAAAGTTATTATAATATGATATTGTTATTATAAGTTATATAAGAGGAAATATCATCTTATTCTACTTCAATAATATACCTCATGAATATCCTAAAATATTATCAAACTCATATTACATCTATTTTTAATATTATATAAGTATGTTAATAAAATTTATGCACTTTTGAAGTGACTGAACTTGTTTGATATACATATTGAAAGTTACTTATTATGAAGTTACTTGGACTCACCATGGTCATATTTCTTTGAGCAATAAAAATCTTCTGGCTTTCAGGTTAAGTTTGTCATCTATGTTCTCAGAATGTGGGAATTATTTAGATGTACCTATCAAAATTAATTGACCAATAAAAACTGTACAATCTAAAATTAGTTCAAGCCAGTGGACATGTATTTTGTTCTGACCAGCTCTTTAAGATTGAGCTATTTCTATATCTCATTACCTCTTTTAACATGCAACACTTGTTTTAATAGGCGATAAAAAACGGTCAGTTATATTTTAACAATGCCTACTTAGTATCTTGAGGGTTTTACACTTAATGCTTTTACAATAGTTAAATAGCCTAAAGGCTGGATTTAGAGGGTTGACCTGATAAGGTGAACAGTGAATATATTATCATGTTAGAAGTGTATAAGGTTATGTAGTAGTGACATGGATAGATTGCTATTATATCTTATTACTCCATCACAATTCAATATATCACAATCATAGTAAATATCTATCTGGATAACAGTGTGTAATGTCTTATAACTATTATATCCCCATCTTTAAGGTGATTGAATTTTATTTCCATGGATTTACAGATAGAATCCAATTATCAAAGATTATTTGTTTTATTTTTTCTTCCTTAAGATATTAGGCCTTCATGTATTAGATAGCAATCTTTAATTGTAGAGAAGTTTAAGTTTTCAACTACTATTTGTAGTGTTCAACTATAAATTTTAACATAAACCCCCAGTATTCATGTGGTATGGGAGATCTTTCAAATCAACCTTTGGCTGAAAAAAGAAAATTTTGCGATCTATGTAAAGCACTGTTATAGATTATAGATGATTTATAAAATTTGGCTAATCACTATTATGTATAATATGTTCTAGAATTTAGAGTTTATAAATGTTATATAGGGTATTTGGTCTTCTCTTGATATGTGTTCAAAGAAACTGAAAGACCATGAATTTGAATTGCAGTTGTGCCACATGTCATGACAATTTCTCAAGTACAAGGATAAAAACTATCTAGTCTTATAACAGAGTTTCATTTCTGATGGAAATGCGATGAATGTTTAGAAGATAAGAATGTCATATAACAGTTGGTTTATAAATATACAGGATTAGGATTATCTCCGGATTATTTTTAGGATTAAGAATGTTATTGGAGATTTATTTCAAATTATGGTTTCTTAGATATGGAAAACTGTATTAAGGATACAATTTGACAGATACATTTTTTGAGACTGTCTGAATTTTTTGTAAAGAAAAATTTTATTTATGTTTAAGAAATCTAAGTTTAAGAAGGAAGTCAGTCTGAATATTTATTTTTAATCTGTAAGATAATTTAAAATGTAAATGTCATTTAATTTAAATGCATTTTGGTTTATGTCATATAACTCAAGACAAGCGAGACAATTCCGTTAATCAAATCTTGTATGGCAAAATCAAGAGTAAAAGTTGTATAGTGTGGATTCCTCCAGAGAGAAGTATAATCAGATTTTTCGAAAAGAGTCTATTTTAAAAATGGAATCCAAAAACTTGTCAAGGTTTTCCTCATTGTAGTTTGGAATTTGATTTGATTCAGTTTACATACAAAACTGCAGTTGCAACTCCAATGGAATGGGGAGTGTGGGGTAGCAGGGCCATTGGATTTAAGCAAAAATTTTCCTCCTGTCCACCATCCAGAATAATTTTGAAAAAAAATTGGCGGTAGTCCCTTCTTCTGCCGAACTGTGCAATATATGATAAACTGAAAGAAAACAACACTTGTTGACCCTAAATATTGAAAGAAAAGAGAATTGATAGAATTGAACTAAATTATAGAAGAGATAAAATATATCCTGCAGGCTGATTTGAAGGGAGTGTATGTATCTCTATAAATCATGAATAAAGCTTCACAACTGTCAGTACTTTTACCATCAAATTACTAGTCTGAACTTATGATGAATTGTCACTTTCTTATCTTATTTTTCAATAGCTTTTATTATTTCACTGTGCAGGTAATGTAAACATCCAGATCTATTATATTTCATTATTCAAATTAATATTCTCTCATTATCTGTAGTTGTAAAGTTCATGAAATCTGTTGCCTCAATTTCAAACCAATACTACATCAGTCAACAGCTGGAAAGGGCTGTCGGTCTTTGAAGTGCATCAAGTTTTGGCAATAACTTGTCTCATGCTGCAAACACATCAAGACAGTAGGAATGGTAGCAGGGACTACACTTAATATTAGAACTTGGTGTTTTAGAAAAAGTAAGCCTACCCATAGGTCTGAAATATCAAATAAAACCATAATTTTCACCCACACATAAGACAAGTTTCCATTTTGTATCATGATTGTTGGCCAGCGAATGTATAAGAATATTAGATGGGTGTGAAAACGAGTAATTAATTAGTCTAAGCTAATCATTCTTACTGGTAATTAATGATATTTCTAGGGTGGAACATCATCATTACAGGAATTATACTCCGTGTTGACGCCATATACATATTCAGTATAGTCATGTACTTTTGGCAGAGTGATTAATTCATCTGTAATGTTGCCTTCGATTAATAGCTTTTATCTAACTAGATTTTTTCATTCTCTTGAATGTTGATAAGATCTAGTGAGACCATTCGAGTAGGTGAAAACCACAAAATTTAGTTTTGGTATATCAGCAGATATTCTAACTTAGCACTTGACGTCATGAAAATTATGTTAAATCCTCAAAATGTCATGAAGAAACAAATTATATGTCAACAATGTCAATAGTTATGATTCTATCAACTGATCAGTTACATTGTCTTCTGTCTGATAAACATCACATTTATTCTACAGATAGTTTAGAATACAAATACTGTCATTAAATTTGATTAAAGTTTTCATTCATAGTTAAATCAATATTTAGCATCAATATTGAAGAAAATGTGCTCCATTGTCTACAGTACAGTGTTCATGACGTTTAAAAAATATTGTCTACCTTGTGATCTGACATGAAATATTTATTAATTTGATGCGATATAAAGGAAGTATCAACCTAGCTGTAGACTGTAGAATGTGTGGTGAAAATTTCTTTGAGGTTCTTTAACTATTTCAAATCATTGAAATTAGCATGGAATTGTCAGTCTTCATTAGTATAGAACAGAAAATATTAGTAGAGCTCTGATATATATCCATTACATATTCAAATTTTAAACAAAATTAACTGAGTAATGTACTAGGGGGTGGTCTGTTTTTTTCTAAAATATATGGTTAAAAAGGGGGAAACACAGTTAAAGTTAGAATAAAGCCTTTTCTTTATCAGGTGATTTGTAATTCATGAGTAGTAGATATGCGTATAATGAGCTAGGCACGATATCTTTCTATACAACGGATGTCCCATTATTGTTAGCTTTACCCTAAAAAATCTGAGAATGATGTTAATAATAGTGAAAAGTTGTGAGATTATTAATAAACACTGCATAAAGTTACACTGTCATCTTAATATATTTACACATGTCACATAATTACATATTGTTTACCATTAAATTTATTTATTATATACTGTTATTGTTTACAACCACTTCCACAAGATGTTAGTTTTTATACTTATTATGGTCTATTCTTTTAATCTACCACTGGGTCTGACTATTCAAACATTTCAATATATTCAAGTATATAATGTGGGGTTTGTACCTTTGAACTTCAAATCATATTTTTTCTGATCTACCACTGTGGTAAATTACATATCTAATATTGACATTAAAATTTAAAGTTCTGATTTTTTAAGTAATCAATGTTTTTTTTCTACTTTCAGTTTACTGTGGTGAATTTTAAGTCGGCAAATTGGAGCATAACGCTGAGGTAGTGAGTGACTGTGAAGGTGGTCGGAGGAGAAGCATGGGTCGAAAGAAAATTCAAATATCACGTATAAGTGATGAACGAAATAGACAGGTAAACTATTATTATTATTTCAAATGCTCTGCAATTATGTTCGCAGGATGGTCAAAGCATGCTTATTGTAACCATGTATCTAAAACTTGAACCCTCTAACCAGCATCATTGATAAGAAGAAATTGTTTCTGAAAATCCAAGATATCAACTCAACCTATGCAGGGACTGAACTTCAGAATACCTTAGCTTATTGAGCCATGCATTCCACTCTTCACTGAATCTATATTTAATTGCCTATGTTCTGGGTATATGGTCAATAACTGCTCATTGGACCAATAATAAGCGTATTATATATTTGAATTATCACTGCTGTAAGTTGTATTTGAAACAAAAATTTCATATTTGCAGTCTTGTTTAATACTTGTATATGAGAGAGGTATCACACACACTTGTCATACTTTTATATAATAAATGAGAAATTGTCATGATATATATTTTTTTGTCTGTCTTTGTCATTAGCTGACATATTACATACTGACATTACCTTGTTTTGCACATAATTTTAGATTAATATTTAAAAGGACAGAAATGATATTTTAATTACATTGAAAAGAAAAATAGTTTGCACAACTTAATTTTTTTAATTTAAATTTTTCTCTTTTGATACATGATATTTATAAATTATTTTCTAAAAGTGTGTCATAAGAAGACAGGTAATTGCATCAGAAGCAGATCAATAAGAACATGGAACATTTAGTAAATGAGGTTGTTAGTTTCCACTTAAAGTACATGTTTTTTTTTTTATAAATAATGGGTCTGGAATTGATTGAATGTACATGCAGTAGAAAGCTGGACAGTCTCTTTATTTGCAAATTAAACTATCTGTTTACTGCCTGTTGAGGCCATGTGAATAATAATCTTGTGGCCTTGTAGTTGAAATATTTGACCGATTATAGAATGTTTATTTATGGAAACAAACCATAATTCCTTTTAAGGAGCTTGTTAAGTTTAATTCTTGAGAAAAATGAAACCATTAGTAAATGTTTAAATGACGACAATGTAGTAATGACGTAAATTGTAGTATTAATAAGATCTATAGTAAATTGAGCTCTATTTAAATAAGTAAATATGTGTGGGCGGTATACAACAGGCTGTTTAAATATGGAATGTTTCGCTATATATGGTATAGTCAATATATACATTTTATTTTAATTGTTCATACAAGTTAACAATCATACACTTCCTTATGTGCATCATTCTAGATACTTAAAGATGCAAAACCTTGTGATAATCATTACCTGTAGGTTAGAGGGCTATCAAACCTTCACAGTTTAGTTATGTGGAATGAAACACCTTCATTAATACTCAAAAAGTATGATAATAACTGTCATCCAAATCTATATTGAAGTGAAGAAGAAACTAAATTTGTTTCAAGCCTGATATATTTTGCTTGGTTACATCAAAGTAGATAAACGGTGTTTGTGGGTTATTATCTCAGTCAGGTTGTGAAAAAAATTGACAAATGACCAGCTGGTAGACACGAACCTTGATAAATAAAGTTGATATTCTTATAAAAATGTATCCTTCCTTGTTTTCTGTTAATGTTTTTTTTTTAATTTAATAGCAAAAAATAGAAAGATCAGGAACTTAGTATCAGATTGTGAAAAGAGTGAAAAATAACCCCTGTCTTTCATATTGATTTACCTAAGTAACTCATCAATTTATAATGGAAAATTAGAGGAATATTCCTGCAGGTTATACTAGAACATATGAACTTGAAATAATAGAATTACAGGAATATATTCAGAATGATTAAGATTCTTGGAAAAGGTTGTTTTCAGTCAGCAGTTCTTTGGGGTCTGGAAACAGAATTTAAGACACTCTGACCTAGACAATTAGGTCTTAAAGCAATTGCCCAATATATAAAATATCAAAAATATGTTATTTGCATTGTTAAATATTAAATACTGTATCATTTACAAAGAGTTTCTACAGTACATGAACATGTATATACTGATAATGTATATACCAAGTAAACATTATATTAGATCAATTATTAATAATGTTCCAATCAGATCTGTCAAATGCATTGAGTCAAGTTAACATGGCTGACCAAGATCAGTTCTGGCTAATTGTCTTAGCTCCTCATTCATATACTAATATTTCAAACCAACTACTTCTGACAGCTTCAAAATTATTGTCCTGGCATCTTGCCATACAGACATCAGTTTTCTTAATTATGTTCTAGGCATTATGCCACCTCTTGTCAAGATATATGTTGACTTGTATGAACTGCATGATATAATGATTGGTTATTATAGTCAGGTGTGATATTCGTTGATAATATGACGTCATTCTCACCTGTAAACATCTTGTATTGTTAATTAGAGACATTATTTCTATCTTATTTACAATCTAGACAGAATGACGTTAGGTTTGCAGCACAAAATCATCCTCAATATGTTAGATTTCTGGAAACAAAATTTGTGACAAACAATGTCTTGTTTTATTTTAATATATTCATGAATAAAATTCTCCAAATCATTTCTAAATGTCAACTGATTCCTCAATAGAATTTTGAATATTTTTTTTCATAAATTGTGTTTATCTTGATATAAACCTAATTTGTCTGGTGTAAAACTGTCTAAATTTGAAATTTCGTATTCAGTAATATTTTGATGTTCAGATTGATATACTGCAGTTTTCAACTTAAGAATTTTCCTGACCATATGATACATGTATACTTCAGATTCATCTGTTACAGTCATCAATCATTGCTTGTTAGAAATAAATAAATTACGAAATTTGTCATTTCAGGTGACCTTCACAAAGAGAAAGTTTGGGCTAATGAAAAAGGCATATGAACTAAGTGTATTATGTGATTGTGAAATTGCTCTCATCATATTCAATGGTAGTAATAAGTTATTTCAATATGCCAGTACAGACATGGATAAAGTTTTACTTAAATACACTGAGTATAACGAACCACATGAAAGTCGTACCAACAAAGACATCATTGAGGTATTATTTTTTTAGTTTTTTTTCTCTTACTCTTAAGTTGATCTTTCTGACTTCAATACTCCCTTATCACAACAGACCAACAGCATCACATCTACACTTATGACATCAGTCTTACAGCCTCGCATCTACCTTTTTAACATCAGTCTTACAGCCTCACATCTACCCTTATAGCATCAGACTTACAGTCTCACATCTACCCTTATAGCATCAGACTTGCAGCCTCACATATACCCTTTTGACATCAACCTTACAGCCTCACATCTACCCTTATTACATCAGACTTACAGCCTCACATCTACCCTTATAGCATCAGACTTGCAGCCTCACATCTACCCTTACAATATCAGTCTTACAGCCTCACATCTACCCTTACAACATCAGTCTTACAGCCTCACATCTACCCTTACAACATCAGTCTTACAGCCTCACATCTACCCTTATAACATCAGTCTTACAGCCTCACATCTACCCTTTTAACATCAGTCTTACAGTCTCACATCTACCCTTACAACATCAGTCTTACAGCCTCACATCTACCCTTTTAACATCAGTCTTACAGCCTCACATCTACCCTTACAACATCAGTCTTACAGCCTCACATCAACCCTTAGAACATCAGTCTTACAGCCTCACATCTACCCTTATAACATCAGTCTTACAGCCTCACATCTACCTTTACAACATCAGTCTTACAGCCTCACATCTACCCTTATAACATCAGTCTTACAGCCTCACATCTACCCTTTTAACATCAGTCTTACAGTCTCACATCTACCCTTACAACATCAGTCTTACAGCCTCACATCTACCCTTATAACATCAGTCTTACAGCCTCACATCCACCCTTTTAACATCAGTCTTACAGCCTTTAGACTTACTGCCTCACATCTACCCTTATAGCATCAGACTTACAGCCTCACAACTACCTTACTGACATCAGTCTTACAGCCTCACATCTACCCTTATTACATCAGACTAACAGCCTCACATCTGCCCTTATTACATTAGACTTACAGCCTCACATCTACCCTTATCACATCAGACTTACAGCCTCACATCTACCCTTATTACATCAGACTTACAGCCTCACATCTACCGTTATAGCATCAGACTTGCAGCCTCACATCTACCCTTTTGACATCAACCTTACAGCCTCACATCTACCCTTACAACATCGACTTACAGCCTCACATCTACCCTTATAGCATCAGACTTACAGTCTCACATCTACCCTTATAGCATCAGACTTGCAGCCTCACATCTACCCTTTTGACATCAACCTTACAGCCTCACATCTACCCTTACAACATCGACTTACAGCCTCACTTCTACCCTTATAGCATCAGACTTACAGCCTCACATCAACCCTTATAACATCAGTCTTACACTTACAGCCTCACATCTACACTGATGACATTAGACTTACAGCCTCACATCTACCCTATTGACATCAACCTTACAGCCTCACATCTACCCTTATAGCATCAGACTTACAGCCTCACATCAACCCTTATAACATCAGTCTTACACTTACAGTCTCACATCTACACTGATGACATTAGACTTACAGCCTCACATCTACCCTATTGACATCAACCTTACAGCCTCACATCTACCCTATTGACATCAACCTTACAGCCTCACATCTACCCTATTGAAATTAGACTTACAGCCTCACATCTACCCTATTGACATCAACCTTACAGCCTCACATCTACCCTATTGACATCAACCTTACAGCCTCACATCTACCCTATTGACATTAGACTTTCAGCCTTACATCTACCCTATTGACATCAGACTTACAGCCTCATATCTACCCTTATAGCATCAGTATTGTCTTACAATACAGTATTTGAAAACAATTGCCTGATCTGAGAATTACCTGACCACATCAATAGCCTAGTTGCCATTCAAGTACAACCTTAAAACAACATCATATTTGACAGCACAGAGAACTTTTTACATTAAATAAAGAATGTACTTTTTGGCAAAATGACTGACCATTATTTGGCGGGATTTATTAGGCACAAGTACCGAATATTTGAGATACTGGAAGAAATTTCTGTTTGGCTAATAGGAGAGGGATAGAATTCTTTGGCAACTATCAAAGCATGCAATATATGTAACATTCGCATGAAGAAGACTTGAATGAATCATGCTATTAGAGTTATCTCTTAGTTCCAAGCATCTGTTTAACATCAGTAATTTATATAGCAGAAGTGAAATTATTGATAAACCTATCTCTTTAATCATACCTTCACGTATCAGTAGGAATTCTGTTTCTGGTACAAAATACTTTTTTTTCTATATGTTCTATATAGTATGTATATTCATATTAATTTTACTTATGCAAGTGTAGAGCAACTCTTGTGACATATATAATGCTGTTGACTGTATGGATTGGATATGAATATGTCTGCTTTGTCCAATCCAGAACTGTGTCAGTAAATACCAAATGGCATCAGGTGTTTTGGAGGGAAAGTAAAATTTGAAGCATTCTGTCTTGTTACCGGTGTTAGAGAACTTAACAATAGTTTTTTGAAAATGTCTCTGGAAGTTGTAACAAATTATTTGGAATAATTCAAAAAGGACACCTGCCATTTTTATTTGTAAATTGTAATGTTTCAACAATTTGTAAAATAAATTTTTAATTTTGATATTTGCACATTTGTTTCAATATTGAAATTCTATGTATTTAAACCTGTAGTATATGTTCAAAATGACAGAGTGTTGAATACAAACTTTGTTAAGTTAAATATTAAACTTTGTGAAGTGGTTGTTGAAATAACCCAAGATATCAAACTTTATTAAAATCTTGTAACCAAAAAGTCATGTTCTAAAGGTGGTAAAAGGTTGAAAGTAAACCATAATTTCAAGTCAATTTAAATTTAAGTTTCTTGATTAAACAATTTTTTTCACCTTTGACACCATTGAGGCCAAGTACAAGACCCTTTTAGATATGTTCACGCTTTTTAATATGATAACAATTTTCAAAAGGATTTTTATACGCCCACATGAATATGTGGTCGTATATTATCGTCGCCCCTGTCCGTCGGTCCGTCCGTCAACATTTCTTGTGAGCACTATAGAAACTACAGTTTTTATCTGATTTTGGTGAAACTTGGTGTGATGCTTTAGATTGATAAGATCTCGGTCAAGTTCGAATTTGACATATTTTCGATGAACGGTTTTTGAGATATTGCCCTTGACTTTAGAACGCCTTGAAATTTGTTAAAAATAGTTCGTGAGCAGGATTGAAGCTACACTTTTCAACCGATTCTGATGAAACTTGGTGTGATCATTGGAATTGATAAGATCTCGGACAAGTTCTAACTTGACGCATTTTCGATGAACGGTTTTTGAGTTATTGCCCTTGACTTTGTTAAAACGCTTCGAAATTTGTTAAAAATAGTTCGTGAGCAGGATTGAAGCTACAGTTTTCAACCGATTCTGATGAAACTTGGTGTGATCATTGGAATTGATAAGATCTCGGACAAGTTCTAACAAGAGATATTTTTGATGAACATTTTTTGAGTTATTGCCCTTGACTTTGTAAACACGCGTCAAAAGTTGTTTTTTCCCTTGATAGAG